ATCTTGATTTTGCTCGAACATCTTAGTGCTAGGGAAAACTATTCGATGTTCTTCAGATCTTTGCAAGGTAAGATTATGACGCTCAGCTGTCATGATTTGGAGTAAATTTGGCTTTTTTTACTTCAGACCGAGGGCACTCACTAATTTTTCGCACGGCAGATGATCCGTCGTTGTCATTATTGAAATATGGGATGAAGAGCTACGATAGTCTGATAATATTTGCTCCGTCAGTGGAAGGTATAAGTCGTAGATTACCGGAATTTTAGGCTGCTCTCTTTGTAGTGATGGAGAAGAATTGAGGATCACAAAAAGTCTTTGACTTAGGGATCTTTTCATGAAGGAGAATTTGAAATCAGTTAAGAGATAAATTCAGTTTTCAAAAGGACTCAATTCGTATGAAGATCTGCCACCTTATTTATTATTTATCGGCCACAGTAGCGAATAATACAAGCTTAAAATATGAGAAATTCATGACAATTCAAAATTTTTAAAACTAATTATTAACACAAAGTATTTTTGTGAACTTTTACATCTACTTGATCTGCCTTTTTCCAGCGTTTGGAGGTATCATTGATGCGGAGGAGGTCAAAAATTTTTTGGATGACGGTGGAAATATGTTAGTAGCCGGAGGGCCAAACCTTGGTCAAGCTATTCGTGCACTAGCACTAGAAAATGGCTTCGAATTCGATGAGCCTAACTCTATGGTCATTGATCACATCAACTATGATACACATCTGGTACGACAGTTAGACATTAAATGAAACATTTGAAAGATGGCTTTAGCGATTTTCTAGGATGATGGACATCACACTACTATTGTAACTACGAAAGAACAGCTGATAAATGCTCATCTCATCACAGGTGGAAATGAACTTAGTCCTGTTTTGTACAAGGTAAATATACCTAAGCATATTAGAAGACCATAAACCGCGTACTTCATTTTAGGGTGTGGCAATGGTCTCTCACAAAGAGAATCTTCTCCGTCTCGAAGTGCTGCGCGGAGCTTCTACAAC